AGCCATGATCAAAAAATCAACACAAGACAGCCATAAAATATTCACAAAATAATAATATATACAATATATACATTAAAGGATTAAAAAAAGAAAGTTTAAAATAGAAAGTAATGAGAAAAATGTCAATTATGTTCAAATTAATCAAGAAATAGAAAATAAAACAATAGAAAAATCAGAAATGGGTCCAAATATTTTTATAAAAATTTTGGGAATTTTTAAAAGTCAGAAACTATTTTTTAAAATTAAAATAAATGGGTAAAATAGACAAAAATGGTAAAAAATAGTAAAGTCAGAAACAAAAATTAAATGAAGTCACCAATATTTGTCACAATGTCATTGGATCATTCCATAATTTTTTCAGAATTAAAAAATATGCAAAAGTATTTTTAAACATTTTAAACAAATCAAATAAGTGTAAATTTCATAAAAAATACCAAAACACAAAATTAAATTGTGAAAAAATAAAAATCAGAAAGAGAATAATCAGAAATATTTTTCATAATTTTTTCAGATTTTTTTGACTAAAAATGAATTTTCTATGATTTTTTGAAATTTAAAACAATTAAAATATAAAAATAAGAAAAAGAAAATATAAGAAAAAGATGTGGACCATTGGATGAGAGTCAAAACGCGTTAGTAATCAAATCCAAGGGATCTGGCGCACTGTGCATATCATGGTCTTTACTGAATAAAGCACTGAATCAAATGTAAAATCAGAAATTCAAAAAATACAAATGGCACGCTTTCATTGGTTAGAAGGTGACATGTTGGTCATCTTCAACCTTCAGCCTCACGAATTGTTGGTCTCTCAAACTTTAAAATCAGAAGTTCAGACCTATGCCATTTGTTTCTCTCTTCAAGACGAAGATAACCATACCTCCGCGCCATTTTTATATAAACTGTAACTCAAGCAATTTGGAAATAAAGTTTTGAAAGGGGATTTGAAAATTCATGGTCAAAATGTGTTTCCAGATAAAAGTAAGTGTTGCGATTAGAACCAGGGCAATTAGAGCAACACAATGGTACCAAAGTTTTGAAGAATTGATGAAGGAATCTACCTATTGTAGTTGAGTTGCAGAGCTTTGAAACGTGACTTCTATGGAGCAATGTAGGGCGCGATTCTTGAATATAATGGTATGGTTAGGTTCAGGGAAGATCAAGGAAGGTGAATTGATGGAAAAAATGGATTGAAAAAGGCTTAAGAATAGGATTCGAAGTAACTGAATTCTGATTTGTGGAGTAAGTTTGGCAGGGTGATTCTGGCTATCTAAGCTTGAGAAAATGAATGGGATAGTACATGTATTTATAGGAGAAGCAAATGGGATCAAAAAGAAGAGTGAATGATGCATTTTGGAGGGAATTCCTGCAAACCTGATGCACGAGTGTAATGTGATCCAAACTTCACCAAAACTCATCCAATTCTTGCGTTTTGATGCACTAATCAACTTAGGAAATTTGGCTAATCATGTTTAGACCCAAAACGTGTGCTAATTTGAGGTTTAGAGGTTGTCACATGAAATTCAAATTCTGACTTGCAGGGAAACTTCAATTCCAAGTTACCACTTTTGAAACAATGGCATTTACTCCTCAGGGAGTCTTAATGCATGATTCTTGATGCTTTGGAAAGATGAGGTAACAAAATTTGCAATGGAAAAAGAATGGAATCAATTGGAGGCTTGAGCTGAAAATTACATGGAGTCAAAGTTGGAGAAAAAGAGTTGACTTTTCATACTTAGAAATATTTCAAATTCTTCTTAAAAAAATGACCTATAATCTCTTGCTTCCAAACATGGCCTTGCACCTAGAATTTGCTCTTGACCCAAAAATATGGAATGAAGTAGACCTATTGAATGACATTTTGCAATTTGAACCACTCAAAATCTCCAAGAATTTAGCAAGTTATGACTTGTTGAAGTTGGCCAAAAATCATGAAATGACCTATAATCTTTTGCTTTCTTGAGGCAACTTCCATCCATTTTCTTACTTCGCACATAAAAGAAGGCATGAATTACACATCCTTAAGATCATCATGAAAAAAGAATGGGATCAAGGTGATAACAATTGACCAAGTTATGACAATTTGAAGTTACATATGGAAAATTAGGGATTCAACTGGATGACTTGTAATCTTTCTTCATCACCAAGTTCCTTCCACATGAAAAATCTTTGGAACTTTTGAAGTGATTTGTTGGTAACTCTTTGAAGAGAAGAATGTTTTTGGAATCACTCAAAAATAACAAAAGATGAGCAAGATATGCCTCTTTGAAGTCCAAAACCCTAGCCTCTAAATCAAGAGAATGCTTGGTGGAACTTTGCCAAGTTTGAACATACTTTTTGTGCCAATATCCTTCCTTTGTGAATATAAATTGTTGAGGATGATGATGAGGACATATGGCCACCAAAACAAATTTCATATCAACTTCAAAACAACTTCAATGGTGAGGTTTGAATCTCTCAAGCTTTTGACTAGGGCATGGAAATAAACTCATGAACCCATGAGACAACTTGCTAAACCTCATTTCTTTTACCTACATTATCAATAAGTAAGACAAACTAATATTGCATTTTATAAATTAGAGAGAAAAATCAGAGTACAATATCTATGATCATAAAAGAAAACAAATCAAAGTGCTTGGTTACTTCTCAAAGAGCAAAGCTAAAGATAGGGAGAAGAACCAAGATCCCTAATGTGATTTTATGGTGATTGAAACAATGTGGTATGATGAAGGGATCTTAGGGGCAAAAATTGGGGTACAACAACATGACTCTCAAGTTATTATTCTTATGTATTTATGATAATAAAAAGTCAAAGGTTAATAATGTTATATTAATAAAATTATTCTTGTTTTCGTTCATTTATCATTTTTTATGTGATGTAAGAGTTAGATATATTTTTTGACTAAACTTTATTGAACCTATTGATGTGTAAATTACCTTAAAAGGATTAAATGATGTATTTTATTAAAAACTTAAATTTTCATGTAAATTATATATTTATTGCTATATATGTATTGGGGGATACTAGGAACATCGATACATAGTGTAGGAATAAGCACCTTTGTGAGAGACACCACTTATCCACCTAAAACTTTAAGGTGATAGTTGAGTGGTTTCTCCCACTTACTCACACTTGCTATATTATTCGAACACTCCCTCTCAAGTGTGAGTCCACAATACTCCTCCATTTATACCACCATTCCTTTCTCGAACCAAAGGCTCTGATACTATATTGGGGAGAGATACTAGGAGCATCGATACATAGTATATGAATAAGCACCTTTGTGAGAGACAAACCATTTATCTACCTAAAAACTTAAGGTGATAGGTGAGTGAGTTCTCCCACTTTCTCACACTTGCTACATTATTCCAACCATATTTGCTATATTATTCCAACCATATGTAATTTTACTTTAATGTTTGCTAAACATCGTACATTAATTTACTCTTACTTTTACAAACTTATTTAGTTGAGGAGGTTTCAAATACGGACCTCTAAAAATTGATTTAAAAATGAAATCTTAATTTTTTTAATAAAAAAATTAGTTTAATAATAACATAAAGTGGAGAATAAATAATAATTTTTTTGAAAATTTATATTAAATTAGTAAATTTCACATATGAGACGAGTTCAATCTAAGGAATATTTTTTTTATTTTATTAAATTAAAATTAAAATATATTATTTACATTTTTGTTAAAATATTTAATATTAACGGGAATACAAAGTTACTAATAAAAATATTAAATATTAACGATAACAAGAAGTTACTAATAAATTTTTTGAATATTAACAGAAATAAGAAATTACTTATTAAATATTTTAATATTAATTGGAACATGAATTAGTGATCAAAATACTAAATATTCATTCAATTATGTATTCAATTTCTATAACATCTTTTTTATTAATTATGCATTCAATTAATTTTTTTTCAATAATTATTAAAAATAGTGACATTATAACATACCACACCAGTACTCGTGCGAACGCACTGGTATCCCACTAGTTTTTCCTAAAAATGGTAAGAGTCTACCTTTGCACCACTTTTTGATGGTCCATATGTATTAGATACACCCAAATTTAATATTCCAAAAATATTTAATTTATGGTTATTTTATTTAGAATAGATGCTCCTTTTTACACACATGATAGAGAGTTAATATAATTTATTTAGTATTTTTATATTAGTTGTTATTTTGTAATGATTCTAGAATTTCTTAAGATCTTTAAAGGTTGTTGAATTTGGACTTTTATAAGTTTGGACTTTAGTTAATTATCCATTAGGAGTACTATATATGTAGTCTACTGAGACATTGAAAAGACATCAAATGAATGAAAAAAAAATTTGTAGTTTATCTTTAACCTTTATAGATTTTATTATCTTCTCTTGCACTTAAATTCTCTAATGGGGTATTCTCATTTCATACCCTCTCATTAGTGGAGCATCCCTCCAACCTATCCCTCATTTCTATCTTATGCACCACAAGATTACCATGCATATACATCATATGCAAATTCTTCTAATCCATATGGTTATGATAGCAGTATGGGATACTCAGGCTACTATAACAGATATCAGCAGCCACAACCTAATCTTGTTCATTGATAACCTATTTCTTCCTTTCAGAGTATTGGGTCTTATGCTAGATCTGAAACTTATTCAAGCACTTATTTCAATCCTACTGATTATCAGACTACTGGAGGTTACCAAAACAACAATGGTTACTCAAATCAAGCGCCAATGTGGAACAATGGCGATTCTGCAGAAACTACCATTTAGTATTAACTACAATACTCGCAATGGGCAGACTATTATAGCCAAACAACAATCAGTTGTGCTCTAGCTTATTCACCCAATCCAAATCCAAAAATCTAGTGAAAAATAAACCTTGTCGGATCGCCTCCATTTTATTTGTTAAGAATGGATAACACAAACGAGGAAAAAGAAGGATGCATAGAAAAAGAGTTTCACCGAACATACTTTCGACATCAACAATTCCATGACTACTCCACATCCCCCTTCTAAGTTAAACATTTCTGCTTTTTCTCGCAAGTTGTTTGATAAAATACCTCATGATCCATTTAGAGAGGTAGAATCGAAATCAAAATCGGAGATAAGTTCAATGAAGAAACGTGAACCGAATGAGATTCACACTGAATCCTCATTTCTAGATGTTTCTGTAGAGCCTGATTTTGTAAACTTTGGCCCTACTATTAAGCTTAGCCCACCCGCCTCCACTCATCCGGTTTCATACACACATACTATAATAGATCCTGTTGATGCAGATCCATCAATGTCACCTTATGATCATAAAACGAACTACCTCTCCCCTAAGCCACAATTACTTGATTACAGACCTAAACCACAAACGGAATTAGAAGATAAATTCATCATGTCTTCAAGCTTTTCAGACTCAGAAGTTACTGAGAATACTCAGTCTAAAGAATCACTGAAGGAATCTGAGGATGTTTCTTCAGATGAAACTGTGAAGCAAGAAGAATCACTCATAATTTTGCTGTTGTCAACTGCTTTTGTATCAATCTCAGTCACAAAGTCTCTAGGGATTGATCATGATGTGTTTGGAGAATTTTACGAGGCTTATAAATTGTCTGAACTTTTAGAGTTTGCAAAGCCTAACTTTGATCAATTCTCCTAGTTTTCACAAGAAAATTATGATTGTTTAGCTCGAAACTTGCATATTTGGTTTACTAGGTCACTATCTTCAATAAATGAGTTTATTTATGATGTTAGAGGAGCACATGATTTGGGCCAGTTGCAATATTTTAACTTGACTATACTGAGCGACTATATTGTAGTCAATCAGTATCCTAATGTTCAGTTTGCAGTTATCCTGGATAATGTTGAGGTTCTGGTGATTGAGATGGATCTGAGAGCTTCTAGGTCTTCTGCTCTTGCTTCTAAGGCTACCGGGTTTCCCATAACGAAAATAGAAGTGAAGTTGTCTGTTTGTTATTCTTTGGATCAAATTCCATATGATATAAAAAAAAACCTGCTAGTTTTGAGCCTAATTTGTTTTCTATGGATTCTGTTGTTAACTTTTATGCTACATGTAGGAAGATGGATGATGAGTTTAAGATGTTTGATAGAATTCCGCATAATAATTTGGTTTCTTTAAATACGGTTGTTATGGCATATGCACTGAATGGGTTTGCTAGCAGGCTTGGTGGTTGGTTTCAGATATCATGAATCATAATTGTGAGGTGCATAGTGTTGTTGATGTCAACAACCATAGCTATTTCCTTACTTGGAATTCTTTGAATGAGTTTGATCCAAAGTATTTTGGTGTTGATTGGAGGAAATAGTTTGAGACACAAAGGGGTGCAATTTTGGCTATTAAATTCAAGAACAATGCTAACAAGTTTGGTAAGTGGACCGCATACACTATGCCAAATTTGAATTTAGACAGCGCCACATAGACAGCGCTTATGCCATAAGCGTTGCTATAAGTTTTAAAAAAAAATTAAAAAATTAGAGTAAGCGCTGCTAAAGGTATACCTTAGACAGCGCTTACTAAAAGCGCTGCTAAAGACCTTACCATAGACAGCGCTTCCTTTCCCTAAGCGCTGCTATAGGTTTTCAATAAAAAAAATAATAAGAATAAGCGCTGCTAAAGGGTATACCTTAGACAACGCTTACCAAAAGCGCTGCTAAAGGCTTTATCATAGCCAGCGCTTCCTTTCCCTAAGCGCTGCTATAGGTTTTCAATAAAAATAAATAAAAAAATAAGAATAAGCGCTGCTAAAGGGTATACCTTAGACATCGCTTACCAAAAGCGTTGCTAAAGGTGTGATAAAAGGTATACCTTAGACAGCGCTTTCAAGAAGCGCTGCTAAAGGCATTACACTAAAGCGCTGCTAAAGCCTTAAAGCGCTGCTAAAGGTAATACCTTTAGCAGCGCTTCTTGAAAGCGCTGTCTAAGGTAATTAAAAAATTTCTAAATCCCTAAATTGGTTATCAGAAACCCCACTTTATACAAAACCCCACTTTATACACGCAACTGTTCATCTTCGTCTAACTCATCTCCTCCCTCCTCACCGTGGACGTGGTTCATCTTCTTCTCCAACTCGCTTCGTTCGGATTCGTTACCATCATCTACAACTCTGCTTCTAAACATCTCAAGATTCAATGCGAACTTGAAGGCAAACTCAATGGTTCTCATTCTGCTGATTTTGACGCTCGCTTCGTTGATAGGGTATTCTCTTTTCTTTCTTTCTCTATTTTTTGTTGTTTATTTCATTCTCAATCGTTTTGCTTTTCTGCGTTTCTTTATTTAGGTTAAATTTTACTTCACTTTTTCTTTTGTTCTATGTGAACTTTTGCAATTGAATTTGAACTGTTGTTGTGACTTTGCGTGTTGGTGATAAAATGATCATTCATTTCTCTATGAAAAATATTATCTTTCGTAGAACACTCTTGTGCTTTTATTCTGTTGTATTGCATTTTTCATTGGACTTACTGAACAGGTTATAGTTGTTTGGATTTTGATTGTGGAATTAGCCCAATCTAGCTAGCATCTTATCTTGACATAAGATGATAAGATTGTTACATATTTTGTTGAGGTAGCAAGAAATGAATATGGTTTTTGAATATGTTGTTAGAGAGGTCAGGGTAAAACAAATGTTCAAAGAGCAGCGAGGCAGTTGTACTTGTAGCATGGCTGAATATGTTTGTTTCTGCATCTACCATGGTTTAGAGATTTGATTTTGTTTCACATCTACCATTAAAATAAATTTTACACCACTCTCAATTGTAGATTGCTGCATTTTCTAAGTTTCGTTTTTAAAGCTGTATTTTACTGATTTTGTATCAACATGGTGCTTGACTATGCAAATTAAACAGAAGAATTAGGCAGAAAACCACTTGGATCCTTTTGAGTTTGAAGGAGCATAATTAGAAGCCCCACATTCAATCATTTTCTAAAGCATTTTAATTTTAAGCAAATGTGTTTCTTTGGTTTTGAAACAAAGCAGAGCATCAAAATGAAAAGGGTTGTTGTCCGGTTAATATTCAGGAAACAAAAACAAAATTTTAAAGCCTTTTGCTTGATCTAAGTATATAAAAAGGAATAAATTACAACCAAACACATTTACTTGACACTCAACATGATCCTAGTCTTGCTATGCAGCCTAGAACCAGAGAGACAGATGCTACTATCATCTTATTTACTATTAGATATATTTTGACATACTTAGATTCATTTTGTAGCAATCATACATCTCTGATATTACTAGTTGCCCAGGTAAAGAAGCCTTTTCATAGTAATCTGAGAAGGCCAATATTCTTCAACCTTTCTTAGCATCCAAAGTCATAAGGAACCAGTCCTTTCAGTTCTGGGCCGTTGAGTGCATTATTTTCAAAACTGAAACACAAGTAGCATACATATATTTACTTTAGTTTCAAATATTAAGAACATACAAGTTTGAGTGATTGTTCTAAGATGCAAGATACTTTGAAAATTATTTATGTACCTTAAAGTTTGTGTTTACAACAATGTAACTGTACAGGATTTCAATACCTTAGAGTTCTAGCTTATCTACATGAAGAATGTTTGGAGTGGATTTTAGATTGTAATATAAAGCCACAAAACATACTTCTTGATTCTAACTTTCAGCCAAAGTTAGCAGATTTTGGATTGTCTAAGCTGAAAAATAGAAACGATCTCAATAATAACTCAACATTCTCAATGATTAGAGGAACAAGAGGATACATGGCCCCTGAATGGATTTTCCATTTACCAATAACATCTAAAGTAGATGTTTATAGTTATGGGATTGTTGTGTTGGAGATGATAACTGGAAAGAATCCAACATTAATGAATATAGAAGGAGAGGATGGAGAAATGACATACAATGGAAGTTTAATAAGTTGGGTGAGAGAGAAAAAGAGGAGTCAATGTTGGGTGGAAGAAATTTTGGATCCAACAATTGGGACTAGTTGTGATTTAAGTAAGATGGATATTTTGGTTAGAGTTGCTTTGGAATGTGTAGAGGAAGATATGGATATTAGGCCTAATATGAGTCAAGTGGTTGAGATGCTCCAAAATAATGAAAGAGTTGTTGAGTGATATGTGAAATTGATAATATGCAGTTTTAGAATGTTACAATTTTTAGGTTTCTTATTCGAAATTTAGGTTTCTTATTCTAAATTTTTAGGTTTCTTATTCTAAATATATACTAGCATATTTTTAAGTTATAAACATTATTACTTATTGCCTGCAAATATTTTTGTAAACATTAGCTCCTTTATATACTCGTGCTTATATGAACAAAAATCTTAGGGGTTATTTGATGATAAGATAAGAGATACATGATAGAATAAGTTATTATGTCTTCTTACAATAATAAGAAAACACATTTATTATCAGTATTATATGGAAATTAATATTATTTTAACTAGAACAGAAGTATTTTGGTTTGATTTATGGGCACAACATGCTACTATTTGTTATGTGGTGCTACTAGATATACCAATGTGTGTTAGTTTCTAGTGGGGTGGAGATTGATTTTAGTTAAATCATAAATGTGAATTTAAGATAAATTGATTAATGTATGGATATGTGCACATATGATAGGTGAGTTGAACAATAAGTTTGAGAGAAAATCATGTTTGAAGATTAAAACTACTATTTGTACATTTGTAGTACAAGTATGATAATAAGCTTTTAGTTTGACCCCCTTTTCCTATGCATAGTTTCACAGATAATTCTGTTTAACCCCAAGAATAGATGATATGCAGTAAAAATCAAAGAAAAAAAATGCATCATACAAAACTGGAAAATATGCATCATGCAAACCCATATGTCAATTTTAATATATCTTATATTTCTGCACAGCAATTAACTGAGTTGGTTTAACGAGACTAATGAGTTTGATGTATTGTTTTTACAATGAATGATACAGGAAATCAAGATGTTAGAATAGTGCATCACCAGAATTTGAATAAGAGAATTCTACTAGCATTGATTGCTTCTTCTGCTCTTGCTGGAATCTTCATCTTATTGTTTTTCTTCTTACAGCGAAATAGAAAATTAACAATCTCCGCGAGTAAAAGCCGAGGAACCTTAGGTATTATGGTTTCTATTCTCTCTTTTGAAACTTTTATTTTGATTTTTTTTAAATCTAAGATATATTATGGACTAGTCAAAATACCATTCAACATGACACTTAATTTCCCTACATTGTTTATTTTCTGTTTCTCATAATGTATGCTTAGCTCATGTAGACATGCCTGCAAGGAACAAAGGAATCACATCATGTAAATCCCCCATCTAATATTCAACTTAGTAATAGTAAAAAATAACACAAACCATGAATCTTAGAATGAGTTCACAACTAAGCTAATGTCTCTAAAATTGTAACGTTGACGATCATTAATTGAATATGTTATAGGACCACAACAATCCTCATTTCTAGAATTGTTCTAATCACATGTTTTATTTTTGTTGACAACACAGAGTCTTTAACTTAGATAATAGTTAAAACCACGGATAAAAAATGGATGTGTGCCGATCGATTGTCAAAAGAGTACGAGGATGGGGTATTAGAGTTCGTTAAGTTTGCTGTTGAACACGCTGAAGACCCGAATAGAATGAAATGTCCTTGCTTGGGTTGTTGTTATGTGGGTCGGGTTGACGCATATGGATTGAAATAGCATTTACTAATGCACATAATTGATCGAAGTTATACGTGTTGGATATTTCATGGTGAGAAAAGCATCGAGAATGTTGAACCGGGGGTGAAAAGTAATGTGCGTTTCGTACGACAATGCCACGGATACATATGATTGTGATCGGGTGGAAGAGATTGCAGAAGCACTTGAAGAAGATCTTCAAGATTGTCCCAAAATGTTTGAGAGGTTGGTAAGCGATGCGGAGAAACCGTTGTATAAATATTGCCCCAAATTCACAAGATTGTTTGCGGTATTAAAATTGTACAACTTAAAGGCGCGCAATGGATGGTCAGATAAAAGTTTCACACAGTTATTAGCCCTTTTGAGAGATATGCTTCCTGAGGATAATGTTCTTCCTAATCGAACCTACGAGGCCAAAAAATGTTGTGCTCTATTGGCATGAGCTATGATAAGATACATGCATGTCTAAATGATTGTATTTTGTTTCGAAACGAATATGCATCGTTGAATGAGTGCCCAAAGTGCGGTTTATCTCGATATAAGAAAAAATTATCTCCAGCGAAAGTCTTATGGTATTTTCCTATTATTCCGAGATTTAGACGCATGTTTCATAGTGAAACCGATGCTAGACACTTGACTTGGCATGCAGATGAAAGAATTATCGATGGAAAGTTTCGACATCTGGCAAATGCACCACAGTGGAAGAAAATTGATAATGATTATCCTGATTTTGGAGGAGAAATAAGAAACCTTCGCTTGGCATTATCTACGGATGGAATGAACCCGCATGGTCTTCAAAGTATCTCACATTCCACATGGCCTGTGATTCTTATGATTTATAACCTACCTCCATGGATATGTATGAAGCGCAAGTACATGATGTTATCTATGTTAATTTCTGGGCCTAAACAACCAGGGAATGACATAGATGTATACTTGAAACCTTTAATCGAAGATTTGAAGATTTTTTGGGAGAACGGTGTGGAGGTTTATGATGGATATAGGAAAGAAAGTTTCAATTTGAGGGCGATGTTATTTGGCACAATTAACGATTTTCCAGCATATGGAAATCTATCCGGGTATAGCATTAAAGGTGAAAAAGTGTGTCCTGTCTGTGAAGATGGAACTGATACGACACGATTGAAACTTTGTCAAAAGAATGTCTTTCTCGGTCATCGTAGATTCTTAAATTCAAAACGTCAATATCGTGGATGGAGAAAAGAGTTCAATGGAAATACCGAACAACATAGAGCTCCATCTGGATTAACAGGTGATCAAATTTGTGAAAAGGTGAAAGATGTGAGTATTCAGTTTGGCAAGCCTTTTGCACATAAAGTTGTCACAGGTGGGTGGAAGAAGAGGTCAATTTTTTTTGAATTGCCATATTGGAAATCTTTGTACGTAAGACATTTTCTTGATGTTATGCATATTGAAAAAAATGTATTTGAAAGTGTTATTGGTACGTTACTCAATATAAAAGGAAAGTCTAAGGATGGCCTTAAAGCAAGAGAGGACATGGTAGAGATGGGAATAAGAACTGAATTAGGACCCGTGAAGAAAGGAAGACGAACATATCTACCACCTTCTTCTTATACTCTATCTAGAAAGGAAAAGAAAATATTGTGTAAGTTTCTGAGTGAAGTTAAAGTTCCAGAAGGTTACTCCTCAGACATTAGAAGACTCGTGTCCATGAAAGACCTCAAGTTAAAGAGTCTGAAGACACATGATTGCCATGTCATAATGGAACATTTTCTACCAATAGGTATACGTTCTATTTTGCCAGAAAAAGTAAGAAGCACTATAACTAAATTGTGTTTTTTTTTTCAGGTCAATTTTTAGTAAGGTGATCGATCCTGAGATCTTACCAGTATTACAAAAAGAAATCGTTATTACTCTGTGTGACCTTGAAATGTATTTTCCTCCATCATTTTTTGACATTATGGTACATCTTGTTGTTCATCTTGTGAAAGAGACACAATTGTGTGGACAAACTTATATGAGATGGATGTACCCTGTTGAATGTTATATGAAAATATTAAAAGGGTACGTGAAAAACTGAAGTCGTCCAGAGGGTTGTATCGTTGAGCGATACGTTGTTGAAGAAGCGATTGAGTTTTGTACTGATTTTTTGTCCAATGTGCAATCCATTGGACTCCCCAAATCTCATTTTTTTCGAAAAAAAAGAAGGTAACAAATTAATTGGAAATGAAATTGTGACAGTATCAAGGGATGAACGGGATCAAGTGCATTTGTATGTTCTGCACAATGACACTGAGGTTGAGCCGTTTGTTGAAATGCACAAGGCTATACTCTGAGGTGAGAATCAAAGTAGAAATGAAAATTGGATAGTACGAGAGCACAATCAAAGTTTTATACAGTGGTTTAAGGATCATATATATTCAAAGTTTCATTCAGATCCCGCTTCAATATCAGACAGGTTGAGATGTTTGGCATATGGTCTAAGTTCGATTGTGTTCTCTTATAGAGGATACGGAATTAATGGATACACATTTTATACCAAAGAACAAGATGAGAAAAGTACCATGCAAAATAGTGGTGTCACGGTGTTATGTGAAGCAATGCACATTTCTGGTATGAAGGACTTAAACCCCAAATATGAAAATTTGTCATATTTTGGGGTTATCAATCACATCTGGGTGTTTGATTATGAGAAGTTTCAGATTCCTATCTTTGGTTGCAAGTGGGTACATACTAGTGGCATACGAATGGATAAGTCAGGGTTTTTGTAAGTGGATCTTAGTACGGTGGGGTACAAAGATGAGCCTTTTATTCTAGCCTCTCAAGCTAAACAAGTGTTCTATGTCACAGACCCGAAGAGTATGAAATGGTCTATAGTGCTTTTATCTAACAAAGTGATTGATGATAAAAGTGTGGATCAAGTTGATGTTGATGTTGAGAATGAGTCGTATATTAGAAACGATCGAGATGATGATACTACAGCGGATGAATCATATATCAGAAAAGATCATGATGAGGGAATTTGGATCAATCCCTTCGTCCGCGTTCTTAAGAGACAAGTAATTCGGAATCCAACCAAGAAAAGAAAGATATGTTAGTGAAAGAGGTAATATGTATTCCTCCATACCTGTTAACACTTAGCAAACTTCTAATAAATTATATATTTGTCATTTTATATACTCAATTGATATTTGTCATTTTATATACTCAATTGATATTTGTCATTTTATATACTCAATTGATATTTGTCATTTTATATACTCAATTGATATTTGTCATTTTATATACTGAATAGATATTTGGAATTATATATTTGGAATTAAATATTTGTCATTAGATACTAATGTTTTTCTTTATTACAGGTTACATGGCTAGTAACGAGGAGCACCCTCACGATGATTCTATTAATGCTGGAGACAATGATGGAGGAAAATCCAGTAAGGGAGTGGAAAAAGA